TTTGTTGAGCAGCAAATCAGCATATTATACTGATTTCTGAAGATCATGTGACACTGAAGACTGGAGTAATGATGCTGAAAATTCAGCTTTGCATCACAGCAATAAATTACATTTTACAATATATTCACATAGAAAACAGCTATTTTAAATTGTAATAATCACAATATTACTGTTTTTACTGTATTTTTCATTAAATAAATGCAGCCTTGGTGAGCAGAAGAGACTTCTTTCAGAAACATTACAAATCTTAGTGACCCCAACCTGTTGAATGTTAGAACTGATAACTGCAAACATTCACCTACAGAAAACAGAATGTTAAAAAAAAAAAATTCATTTGCTTTAGCCTAAAATCACTTACATATGATGTAAAACCTATTTTTGAGGAAAATGTAGATTTCTTATTGCCCCAAGTGAAAAATGTGCTTGTTATGTGTTACACATGACATTCAACTTTAACCTGTTGTTTGAAATGTATTAAGACTAATACATTATTTATGTACAATTTACAGGCACAAAACAAAATGGCATTACTGGTAAAATGATGGTATCATAATATTATGGTACTTTGATATACAGTTTGAATGATAATTCATAATTATGTACCATGGTATTTACATGATACTCTGAGATACTTACTTAAATAAAATGGTGATACCATCAAAAAAAGCAAAAAAGACAAAACAAAAAACATGGAATAGTAACATCCCCAAAACAAAAGTATTTCCATGGTACCATGTCCAAAATGCCATACTTTTTCATTGTATCATTGATATACTATAATATTTTCTAAAATATTTAAATTTCATTTTATTTTTCTGTTTTCATTTTACTTTTAGTCCAATCTTTTGTCATTTTGTTGTGGTTTTGCCATTTGTATCATTTTGTAAATATTTTTTAAATATGTGTATATTTTTTAAATTAAGTTTTACTTTATTTTGTTTTAGTTATTTTAGTACTTCATCTTAGATGAAATAAAAATGGGAAATGTTGCCTTGGCAACTAGCTGAAATAAAATAAGATTAAGGTTTTTTAATTCATTTGATTTCAGTTAATGTTCATTTTATTTCAAGTAATGAAATATCTTTATGGTTTAAATATCATTTTTAGTTTTACCCTGAACAGTACCATGGTGTTTTATGGTTTTGTTTGTAACACAAGCAAATGCGGTTCAGTACGCGAGTGGTTTCCACAAAAGCCTTTGAGAAGACTCTGCGACTGAATTTCACAGTGAATAAGTTTGTTTGTGTGTGTGTGTGTGTGTGTGTGTGTGAGAAGAGGAGTCGATTAAGAATGCCTGCAGGAGTAATACTGCTGAAAAAACACACTTTCACTGAAAAATAATCATTAAAGTTGGTATAATTTTCCACATGGCTGCTGCTCTCTGACGCTGCGCAGAATGTCTAGCGGCACCATATGGTGTGTGTGTTTGATTCAGACACAGAGAAACAGCGAGCGATGGAGCCGAGCGTGATGCTTACAGGACAGCTGCAGGGGAACGGAGAGTACAAATGAAGATGCCTTAGAGGACAGAAAGGCCTTAGACCAGGAAAAAATGCTTTAAAGGAAGATTCTGTCCTCATTTACTCACTCTCATGTCACTTCAAACCTTTAGCAGAATGTTCACGCTGCTCTTTTCAGTGCAGTGACAGAGGATGAGGCTGTTGAGCTCCAGAAAGGACAGAAAAGCACCATAAAAGCAGCTGATATGATTTGTGCAACATATTAAGAGATTTCTGAAGATGACTTTCTCATGTGTGTCAAAAGTTTACTTTTCTTGAGTTTTGTTCAAAGAATATGCTGAAGAGCAAATGAGACACATGATGACAAAATATTCACTTTTGGATGAACATCCTTTAAATTCCCTCAATAAATGTTTTTTCTTTTCAATATTCAACATGTACCGTGTCAAATTCATGAATCGTGCTGTATGGAGAACCAAACCTGCAAAACAAAATGCATGCAAAATGAAACAATACAAAATGAAAAGAAACAAAAAATGAAACAAAACAAAACAACCCAGCAAAATGTTCACAGCAGAAAAAAAATAATGAAAAAAAAAAAATAAATAAAAATAAATTATAACAATAATAATAACATATATATATATATATATATATATACACACACACATAAATGTAAAAACATGGAAATTAATATGCAAGAATGTAATGTAAGAATATGTATGAATATGTAAGAATAAAAAATTAATAAGTATTTATATTAAAAAATTAACACATACATGTAAACATATATATTCAATTTTGTACTAATTATATATACAGTATATGTATATATAATGACAAAAAAATGAAAGAATAATTAGTAATTTAATATAAAAATTAACTGAGGACTAAATTTTGTGAAAACTGAAAGAAAATGTTTATTTCATTGAGTAATTATTTATTTGTTGCAGGTTTTGTTCTCCACAGTGCCAGTCCAAATGAGCAGATGAAAGACTGCAGTTTAGCTGATGATGCACTATAGCCCTGTAGTCTTTGAGCACTGATGTCTTCTGGATTCTAATGCAATCACTCACTGTTGGCTGTAAGTGGCCGTCGGGGACACAGAAACAACACCACAGAGACGAGAGTTAATATTACATCCTTAAAGCTCTCATTTACTCTCACTCCATCTGTATGCTATCCATCCTAAACAACATACAAGATCACAAAAACAGTGTCCCAGTGAGAGCACACTGGAAACAATGAGTCAAAGCTGCATTCAAGTGCACTTACGTCTCAAAGGCTGCTCTTCCAGAGCTCAGGAAAAATAACGGCATACTCAGATAAGTCTCCTTTAAATGTATCATGTTCATCTCAGACGTTTCTCCTAATATTCTGCAGGAAAAACACTCATTACAGGACTGCAGCACAGCGCTGTGTGTGTGTGTGTGTGTGTGTGTGTCTGTGTCTGTGTGGAATAACCCCGTGGGTTTGTGTTTATCAGTCACCATAGAGAATCTCATTATATAGATTATGTGTGTAATGGAGTGTGTTCATAGACCAGAGAGTCTACAGACACACACCAGCAAAAGACACACACACACACACACACACACACACACCAGCACAAGACACACACACACACAGAGAGAGTTAACAGCTTCCATTTCAAACTAGTATAGATCAGCTATAGTGCTTAACAACTGAACACTGACTTATAATTTGTTTTAGCTGGTGACCAGGATGGTGACACTACACTCTAAAAAATGCTGGGTTAAATACAACCCAGTGCTGGGTAAAATAGGGACAAACCCAGCAATTGGGTTGTTTACCAGCATTTTTTAGAGTGTAGTGTCACCATCCTGGTCACCAGCTAAAACAAATTATAAGTCAGTGTTCAGTTGTTAAGCACTATAGCTGATCTATACTAGTTTGAAATGGAAGCTGTTAACTCTCTCTGTGTGTGTGTGTGTCTTGTGCTGGTGTGTGTGTGTGTGTGTGTGTGTGTGT